TTGGGCAGGGACACCACTCCTACCCTCTGGCTAATAGGACTCCATGGACCCAACCTCCATGACTTGATCTCACTTCCCTTTAAACTCTGTTCCAGTTCTAGCCTTCACAGCCTCCTGCAGCAAGGAGTTCCACAGGTTGACTCTTTGCTTTGTGAAGAAGAACTTTCTGTTACTAGTTTGAAGCCTGCTACCCATTCCTTTCCTTTGGTGTCCTCTAGTCCTTCTTTATGGGAACTAATGAAGAACTTTTCTGTATGCACCCTCTCCACCCAACTCCTGCTTTTAGAGACCTCTATCCTGTCCCCCCTCCGTCTCCTCTTTTCTAAGCTGAGAAATCCCAGTCTCTTTAGCCTCTCTTCATATGGGACCTGTTCCCAACCCCTGATCATTTTAGTTGCCCTCCCCTCTCCCAGCCTCTCTCTTCCCCTCTCCCACCTCCTTTTCCCAGTCTCCCTCAGTTTTGTTCAATAAAGACAGATTCCATTTTGGAAGACACGTTATCTTTATTTTGTACATCAAGAAGAGGGGCTAGGGAAGGGTAAGTAGAAGGAGGTGAGGGAGGAATGGGGCACGAGCCCCTGATGGGGAAGACTGGGCTGGGGGTGGAAGCTCTCCTGCAGCCCCCCAATTGCCCCTCTCCCCAGATGGCAGCCTGCTGCAAGTGCAGCCGGGATGATGGCCGAGTGCTGTGATGTGCCCAGTGTGGGTAGTCTGGGCACTCCAAGCCAGGACTGCTTTGCAAGCGGGGCACCCCTGAGAACTGTCTGTCCGGGGTGGGGTTCGGGACCCTTTAAGCACAGCCCTCGGCTAGCCTGAGACAACATCTCCACGCTCTTAAGTCCTCCTCTGATGCCCTGCCGGCACTGCTTCTGGCCATCCTGAAGCCTGGTTCAGGGTCCACTTAATGTGGATATGCTAGTTCGAATTAGCAAAACGCTAATTCAAACTAGTTTTTTAGTCTGGATCCGTTAGTTCGAATTAGCTTAGTTCAAATTAACTAATTCGAACTAAGTTGGTTCGAATTAACGTTGTAGTGTAGACGTACCCTGAGTGGCTTGCTGCTGCATGGTGTCTGTGTTTCAGGAACAGTGTAACTAGAACACCTAAAATTCATGAAGTTCTAACTATATTGGTTCTCTCTGGAGGAAGTCAGCAAAATATGCTTTTCCTCAGTCTTTTAAATGGAAAATAGGTGGGTGTGGGTAGAGAAACAACAGAGGAAGCAAGGCTAATGTGATTATACATGAGGCTTAGGGAGCTGGATCATGTGCCATTAGGAATACACTTTCTGGTGAATCAGTGAACTAATTAGTTTCTACTTTAACCAACATATCACCAGCATTGGAGTGAGGACATTTTTGTTTGTTTTTTTGTTTTCTCAATTACTGAAGCTACTCATGAAAGTTTGGGCATATTGCTTGAAAAAAGCCAAATCTAGATATTATGTTATAATACAATTTAATTTAAAAAATTAAACTAACAATGTATTTACTTTCATGAATATGATTATTCTGTGATAGCTGAATCTTTGTACCTTACTGTAAACAGGGAAGATTATCAAATTCAGACATTAAAATATATTTGTATAAGACTTTCACATAATTTTACAATGCTTTTGGAATGTGCTTCAATTACCTCAGCATGCAATTTTTCTAATTCTAATAGTTGAATCAGAAAATCAATGCCCGTTGGACTACAGAAGAACAGCTTCTTGCAGTACAAGGTATGTTACCAGAAAGTAGTAATGACCTGTAACTATTAAAAATCTTAAGTGATTTGCAGACTTCTTTAAAATTTTCTGCTGTATGGATGAAGAACACCTGAAAATGCTTTGTTTTCCTTTAAAAAAAATCAACCAAGCAAAAAACTAGTGAGTGAGATTGTTCACTCTCCCCAGAAATGTTGGGAATGTGAAGTCTTTGGCTTTGTTGGAAGACCTGTGAAATGCATATGATTATTTGTTGTTGTTCTGAGATTTTTCTTTAATTGAAGGGGTGTGACCTGCTTAACATTAAGTAGAGTCAACTTGAAATGAATGTAATTGTTTTCTTTGTTCTAAGCAGTCTGACTAAAAATCCCTTTTTCTAAATATATAAACTACACTATCACAAGATACTAATTCCTCTTCTTGATCTTTTAGTATTAAAGAGATGTGAATAAAGTGGGGGGGGGGGGACATTTTTCAGACTGCCTCTGTACATCCAAAAAGAGGCAAAAAGGCAGAAGCCCAATTTCTTTCATTATGCAGGTTGCCTTTAGCTAGGCATGAAGAGACAAACAGTCCTCCCATCCAACATCCTGCTGTGAAAGTTTGAGGCTGGAGACAGATGCTGTACTAACATTTCCTTAGTGCACTTTACCAGCAGGGTATTGGGTACAGTTAACATGCAGTAATCTAAGCATGAAAACTATTAGATTATCTTGTTAAGAGTGCACTGTACAGTCCAGGAAAAGCAATAAGATAGAAATATAAACATGAAATCCAGTGTATTAACTTCAAAGTTTGAAAAGTTGCAGCTCTTGTGTTTTCTGATGCTATACTTCAGCCCAATATTATTTCACTGAAGTAAACAAGCTAGTTTTCTGTATTGTTCACTTGCTTTAAAACAATGCTTAAACTAATTGGGATAACTTACTCCATGTTTTGTTAGAATATCATGTATTGAACATTTGGTACTCAACTTTTTTTAGTATTTTGACTCTGCTTTGAACATTAGGATTCTTTCAAAGCTTTAATGGTCTTTATTTATTTTATATGTTGCCAGTAAACTAGTATGGTTGCTTCTAGTTCAAAATTGGTTATTTTGGACAAGTCCTCATTTTTGTGGTGAACATAGTTTTGAAATGTCTGAGATCTCAGCTCAGTCATTTTTTCATACAATTTGGTCTGCAGAAACTTAAGTTTGCAAGTGTAAAACTTGTTAAATTTGATGGAACACGAAGGGGGCTTGACACTAACTTGAAGAATTGTACTTTATTGGCAGTGGTGTGACAGATCATGTCCGGGCGTGTGCTTTCACCCTGCCTCGGGTGAGGCCCAGCGAGCCCACTGTCTTAATGATCCAGGGCCCAGCAGCTAGACAGGCGCAAGCTCACGACTCCCCCCCCCCTCTCGGGTGGAGTAGGGGCCAAGCGAGCCCTCCGTCCAAGGAACCCCGTGGCCCTTCAACCCCACCCTGGGGTTAGCTATCTGCTCTCCTGTCCCCCTGGGAGCAACTGTCCCTCTCGAGGCTCTCAAGTTTGTTTATGCAGTCACTGTGCGAGATAATGGGGTGGGGACTAGGGGGACCCGGGCCCACCCTCTTCGCCAGGTCCCAGCCCGGGGCCCTAAGGGGTTCGGGTGCTATCCTTACCTGGCTGACTGGGTCCCACCCTGTAACACATCAGCCGATGGGTGCCAAAAGCGCTCTGCACCAGGCTGCTTCCTAGACGCCCTAGGCTGCTTCCTAGCCTCCCCCAACCCCAGGGTCTCCAGTCCCGGAACGCTGGGTCTTACCACTCTGGCGTGGGTCCTGGATGCCCCTTCCCGGCTCTCTGGTGTCCAGTCCTCCAGCGCAGGGGGAGGAATCGCTTTCCCGCAGTCCTCCCCCTGCTTCTGCCTCCTCAGCGTTTTTTGAACCGCCTGCCAGAGGCTGCGCCGCCCGTCCTTTCCCCTCCCTGCAGTCCCGCCGTACGGAGCGTCGGGTCGAAGGGGGCGGGGTTACGTCCCAGCTTTCCAGGACCAGGGCGTGGTGGCCTGCCCCAGACCGCCGTCAGGCACTGTCTCCCAGGGCGGAGGAGTCCTGCTCCATACAGAGCTCAGCGGGGTGGCATTCCCGCTGTGCATCTTCCTGGCCGCGTCTTCGCGCCTGGTCGATTTCAGTGTGGGCCTCAGCTGGCCTGTCACACTAGCTTTCTGCAATCAAATTTCTGCTAATACGTAAACTACTATTCCATGCTTAGGAAATAGGACCCAAATACGATCACTGCAAACTATCTTTCTCAGTGTTTTACTCAGTATATATTGTAGTAGTCCTCAAATTTTGAGGCATGCCCCCTGTGACGTAGTGGGGGGTACTTGCTGGGCGGTGGTGACCTCTGCTGTCTGGAGCAAGACCCAGCAGGGAAAACCTCACTATGCAAAGGTGATGCCAAACCTGTTGAACCAGATAAACCCCATGGAGAGGAACAAAGGAAGGGGGAAGGCTGCCCTGGCTGGGGGGCAGGGCTGGAAGAGAGTTAGAGTGGCTGGCTGGGAGCATGGAGGAGACAGCCTAGGGAAAGGTGCTGGAGTTTAGGGGCCCAGTCTCCCCCCCATCTCAAGGGGGCCTGAGGCATCCTAGCCCAGCTCTGTGACCAGATTACATCTGTACTGTGCTGTATCCTGGAGAGGGAATAAAGTTCCTCTATTCCACCGGCTGGTGCAGTCTGTTTGTGCCATTTCGGGGCTGCAGGAGACGGGGGACCCCCAATGCGCCGTCACACCCATGGAGGAATGTTGAATGTGGCAGGAACCAAGCCAGATCCTGGAAAGGGAAGCAGCACTGCCCATCCCTACTCCAGCTACACTGCCCAATTGCAGTGCACCAGCCACATCCTGTTCTTTCTGCAGCTGTGCTGTCAGCCCCAAGCTCCTCTGCTGAGCTAACTGTGCAGTAATGAAGGAGGGTTGTAGACAGATTCCATTACTGACTGGAGGTTCAACAGTGATAGTTAGGGCATCACTGGCATGTAGGGTTGCCAGATGGTTTCAACAAAAATAGCGGACACACTTTTGACATTACATCACAATCCTCATTACAGAAAATACCGGACGTTTATATTTTCTCAATTTGTTTCCTGAACAGAAAGCCCAAATACTGGCAACCCTGCTGGCATGTTGACTCTGGGACTACTGGGGGAATTAATGTCCTCTGCAGCTTTTACTTTTCCCTTGCAGAATAATTGATTCATGCACCCCTCCCAGGCAGTGATCCAGAACGGACCATCTGCCTTGGGCATTGGGAGCAGCCAGAAAAGATACAAATCACCTGCAGGGGTAGGACTGGGTGTGCGTACAAGACACGGTCTCTCTTGCTCTCTGTCATGATGTGTCTGGAGCCAGAGAGTGACAGGTCAGTGGATACCTGGCCAGTGGCTTCTGTGTGATGAACTCCAGCTATTAATCCTAGCAGGGGTTAGAAATTCCTGTTTCTTTGCATTGGCTGATCCTATACCAAGGTCAGACCCAGGATCTTCCCCTGATTGATTGCAGGAAGCTCTGTGCACACACCAGCTTCTGCTTCCTGCCCCTAACTCCCATGCATCTGGATCTTCCACCTCATCCCCTGCTGAGGTGCATCCCCTGCATTCAAGCCCCCACCCCAATGAGCTCCATCCACCTGAATCCGGACTCCCATTCCCACCAAGGCCTCTACTCTCAGCACCCAGATCCCCATGCTGAACCCCCAGCCTCCTTCACATGGACACTGTTGCTGAACCCCATTCCCTCCTAGTCCCTGTGCACTAGATCCCTCCCCCTGAGCTGCCAGCACTTAGATTGCCCCACTTAGACCCACTCACTCCACATCTGAATCCCTTTACGCTTAGTTCCTGCTGGACTGATTCTACTTGCCCCACACGTGGCTCAAGTGGCAGAACTGATTTTTGCATGCAAGACTGTGTTCCTTTTGCTTGCTCTTAGGGGGTGTCTGGCATGGGGTACTGGGGTGTTTTTTTTGGTTCAGGCCTAGCCTTTGCACTGTGTCAGGTTTGAGTGCAGCCTCACAGTCAACTCTGTGTCCTGAGGGCGCAAGGGGCTGCAGAGTGATCTCCCATCTCTGTGCAGCAAGTGACCTGTGCTCTCTGTTCTGAAGCCTCCACTCTGATTACTCTTCTAATCTGTCTGCAATAATTTCAGTTCTAGTACAGTAACTGTACAGTGATATGCTGAGTGCTAACTGCTTACCATTGCCATTCAGTAAGACTCTAATCTGGGAAAGAACTAGTTTAAATGGGATGCTGAACTTTATGCACCTATTTAAGTGCTGTGCCAGATCATGGCTTATCTTCACTCTTAAGGATGTGCTACCTTTAGGGCATGTCTAAGAGCAAAGAAATGCCCATAGCAAGCCCATGCCAGCCAACTTGGGCTTCTGGGGCTTGGACTGCAGGGCTTTTTCATTAGAGTCATAAAATCATAGAGCTGGAAGAGACCTCAGGAGGTCATCATGTGCAGCCCCCTGCCCAAGGCAGGACCAATCCCAACTACATCAACCCAGCCAGGGCTTTGTCAAGCCGAGACTTAAAAACCTGTAGGGATGGAGAATTCCACCACCTCCCTAGGTAACCCATTCCAGTGCCTCACCACCCTCCTAGTGAAATAGTTTTTCCTAATATCCAACCTAGACCTCTCCCACTGTAACTTGAGACCATTGCTCCTTGTTCTGCCATACGTCACTAATGTGAACAGACTTTCTCTGTCCTCTTTGGAATCTCCCTTCAGGAAGTTAAAGGCTGCTCTCAAATCCCCCCTCACTCTTCTCTTCTGCAGACTAAACAAACCCAAATCCCTCATCCTCTCCTTATAGGTCATGCGCTCCAGCCCCCTAATCATTTTGGTCGCCCTCCACTGGACCCTCTCCAATGTGGCCACATCCTTTCTATAGTGGGGGTGGGGACCCAGAACAGGACACAATACTCCAGATGTGGCCTCACCAGAACCAAATAAAGGGGAATAATCACTTCTCTAGATCTGCTGGCAAT